TTAGATGGTTGGTGAAGACGGCAGAAATTTTTGGTTCCCACATCCAGTCAGAGCAGAAAGTACTAGGCAGGATAGAGTAATGGTTTGTCTAATACATTCCACATTATAAAAAATCTTGCTGTCTGGCTAATCTATTGTGGGGGTTTTTTTTCTAATTTTCATTTTTCTTAATAATCCCAATTCAACTTGAGTTTTATTTATCCACTTTTGTTCAAAATCACATTTAATAACAATAAAATTATACATGCCTTCCCAATTCATTCTGGCTTTTGTTTCCCTAATCACAAGAGCTGTTCAACTCCTTCTCATACTCCTCTTCTCCAACACCCTAACCAACCAAAGTCCACGACACAAGAGGTTAGTTTCTGATCTTAAGGCTGAGTCAGAGAGCAGAAGAGGAGAATTTGAGTTCTAAAGCAATATGCTTACTGATGTTGTGAATGTATTTTTTTTACTCAGAGCAAAGATCCACAACACATCGGCAAACTCCATTTCTCCCCTAAGCCTTTGAAACTGGTAAGTTGTGACAAACATTCCAGTGAATTATATTCCTAATGTGTTTGTTTATCAGTCATTAATTTTCACTATAGCATGTCTCTTTTGTTATTGTTTGATTTTCTCAGTTTCATATGGTTGAGCTTTACAGCCTAAACTGACTCCACATTTGTTTATTTTCTCCTGGTAGCAAGAGCTATACAAGAAAAATCTCAGAAGTAGAGATCCAGCAAGATGAGCAATGATGGCCTGGGATCCTGGTCCACTTTGAATGCTTTGTTGGAAGATATTGGAGAAGAAAATGAAACTGACCTCCTAACCCCCCAGGATGGTTTTGATCATGAATTATCACCATATCATATAGCAGAAATTCTTATCATCATCTTCATTTTACTTCTTAGCATTTTTGGAATAATTGGGAATGGAACTGTCATCTGGTTTCTTGGCTTTTGCATGAAGAGGAATCCTTTCACCACCTTCATCCTGCATCTGGCTGCGGCTGACGTTGGGACTCTCATATGCTTATTTACTTTGTCCATTATACGTCTTCTGGGGTCACTTTTATCTTTACCTCCCTATACGCATTGGATTGCATTATTGGGTTCCATTCTTTTTTCCTTCATGTACAACACTGGTCAATATCTGTTGACAGCCATTAGCATGGACAGGTGTGTTTCAGTCATCTTCCCACTTTGGCATAGGTGCCACCGACCACCACACTTTCCCACCCTTGTGTGTGCCACAATATGGATCATTGCTTTCCTGCTCACTGTAATCTTCAGCATTCTTTATATTTTTTACAGTCTGTATCCCATTTTTCACCTCCTTTTAATGAACGCTATACTTTGCCTCCCACTCATGACTGTTTCCACTCTGGTCCTGTTTATAAAAGTTTACTTTAGATCACAACTGAGGAAGAAGGGAAAAGCTTTAACAGCCATCCTCCTTGCCCTCCTCTTCTTCCTCTTCTTAGCTTTCCCACTTACTTGCATTTCATTAATCAGATTTTTCACTCCACTTATAGACTATAATGTTGAATTTTTTGTAATATCTGTTGGGTTATTATGCAGCTGCCTGAATAGCAGTATTAACCCACTGATTTATTTCCTGATTGGGAGAAACAAGAGGGCTCGATCTAGGGAGAGCATGAAGGTCATACTCCAGAGACTTTTCAAAGAGGAGGAAAACTGCAGAGAGGAACGAGAAGTTCCAGCTCAAACCCGGATGTGAAGAGTTCAAAATAGCTCAGAAGGCTTCATTTTCTATCCTCTGGTGTATTTCTTGGTACTTGTTTTCCTCTCTACTCACTATTTTATTATTTTGGATTCATTTACTCTGTCATTTACTTCTTGTTTTAGCAGTATTGTTAAAATCCCCTTGGATTCCCAATTGGCAGGATTAATGCTTTGTATGTTTTAGAAAATAAAATAAAAAAGAAATGCCACTTCCACAGACTTTGAGTTAAGAGGGATGACTTGCTAAATGGTATAGAAAACAGACTCATCGCCAAAGGGAATGAAGTAAAGAAATCTTCACATGTAGAGCTTGAATGTTTGAAGGAAACAGAAGAAAATGTTTCTCCCAGATTTTTTTTAAAAGTGCATGATAGAACACTCTACCAGTACAATCCCTATTTTCTGTGCTATTTTTCTAAAAAAAGAGCTCCAGAAACTCACCATAAAGGCCTCCCTTGTTCTGTTATAATTTCAGCGGCACGCACCTGAGAGGTGCTGGAACTGAGTTCCAATTAGTTACGGCTGAAAAATAGCACTGCTTATTATATGGATGTAGTGTTATAGAAGTTATAATTGCGTCTCAAGGCCCCTAGACCCACCAGATTTTTTAAAAAGTGCATGATAGTTAATTCCACCAGTACAATCCCTATTTTCTGTGCTATTTTTCTAGAAAAAGAACTGCAAAAATTCACGCCATGAAGCTCCTTGTTCTCTTATAACAGCCATGGACACCCACCTGAGGGGTTGGAATGAGCTCTATTGAATTGTGGCTGGAAAAAGCCATGTTATAATCAATGTAGTGATTAGGAAATTATAACTATGTGCAATATAGAAACTCTACACCTTAATAAGGCATGTGACAATTAGCAGAATTGAATCATGACATCAATGTTTCTCCAACTTTCCAATAATTTTTGAAAAAAACACCAGAGCATACAGGGGGGAGATGGCTCCATATCATGTCACAATGCACTTTCCACTCAATGCTAGCCATCAAGCCTATATATCCAAACATGCACTAGACTCCTTTGCATGGTGAAGAACTGAAATCACCATGTATAAGACTCACCTTCACACATCATTCTCGTTCACACTTACTAAGAAGGATTGGGATAGGGCATGAGAATAAAGCCGTCAGGTGAAACCATGCAGTCCACTCTGCACTGCAGAGCAAAGAGTCCCTTTGAGCAGGGGAGAAGATGACTGGGCTCCTCTTATGCTGCTTAGCTTTTCACTGCACAAGCTAAGAGACCCACCACAATGTGCAAAGGCTCTAATGCAATTGAGAGGAAGTAAGATGCTCACATAAAAGCTAGCCAAAAATCAGCTTGAGCAAGTAACACTCATCATCAAAATGACACAAAGCACCTGATGGGTGTCAGAGAAAGATACTGCCTTCCAACCAGCTCCTACAGTCTCTCTCTGTGTGTGTGTGTGTGGCGTGCGCGCGCGCGATTAATGAAAGTACGTAAATCTAATTATTCAAAGAGAGGAATTAAACTTGCTTTTGGACTGATGCAGAAGGACTGAACCCAAGGATTGATAATTGGATGTGGTCTGAGGTCCAGAACTTTAATTACCCCCATAATGTTTTGGATTCTTTTGCATATCATTATTGTATATATAGTTATTTTTCCCCATAATATAAGTTTTGGGTTTAGATGCTTTTGTAACTGTCTCCTCTCACAGGAAACACCCACTATCTTCTGCAGAAGTTTCAAGCAAGATAGCTCTGGTGGCAGATAACAATGTTCTGGCATTTAACGGTCATGAACATGTGCCCAGTAGACCATTCTCATACAGAGTCTTCTATATCACATATCTAAGTCTCATGTGCAGCAATATCAAGTTGATTACTTCCCATGTTTGGGCTTCTGTATCCAAAACTATACCACCATTGCATAAGAGGCCATGCTTTGTGTAGCGCTGAGAGGGGCATAAAACCCCAGAACAACCCGAAGAAAATTCATTGGAATATGGGATATGGAATGACTGAATGGGAAAAACTAAGAACCAGTGGAAGGAGGCATGATGTATGTTGGTCTCTCTCTCTCTCTTTCACACAAACACACACACACACAGAGAGAGAGAGAGAGAGAGAGAGAGAGAGAGAGAGAGAGAGAGAGAGACCATCTCTTGGTCTGGCTAGATTGTAGCCTTTTTTCCTTGTCCCCAGGATGGAATGAAGAGTATTCCAAAAAAATAGAGGTTTTAAAGAATTCATGTATGTGGGATTGGGCTGAAGTATGTTGAAGACCCACCAAAAAAAAGCATATCGGCCTCCCACACATTTCAAATTTTCTCAACAGGATTGAAAAATTAAATAGATTAAGGCCTGCCAGCAGATCATCATGGGGAGGATAGTCTTGTTGTGTTCAGAAGCTATATGAGCATTTATTTTTTTCATTCGCAATACTTTGACCACCCATAAACCGTACCGTGACAGGTTCTTGTTCTACTCTGAACTCAGTATCTTATTATTATAAATCTATTTGTTAATATCCACAGATTGTATATCTCTGGGGAGACATAGAGGTAAACCCTCTTTCCATTTTTTAAACGATAGATTTATATATAATTATTATTATTTGTTGAATTTATATACTGTCCTATAGACGGAGGTCTCAAGTGATTGATGCCAGCAGTTCTTTTGTGGTCCTTTTACTTTCTTCTTGGCTATTTTTTTTCATTTGATTTTTTCCCCCCTGCTATACCAGCTTATGCAGAGATGGTTGTGGGCCTCTCTGACTGAAAGTCAAGGATTTTTTCTAATCAGAAATTGGCAGTGGACTATACTTCATAAGCTAGGAGAGTGGAGAAATAAATGTCAACAGTGAGGTATCTGTGCTGGGAAACACCCCGGTAATCCCATGGATAGTATTGGGCATTGATGTCAGTGTCAGGATTCCAGCTGCAGTCAGAGGTAACTGGCCTCACTCCAGGCATTCGGCTGGGATCCTTGTTGACCCCTCAGCAGATTGAACCTCAGTTCTGGAACCAGGTAAACATTGTTTATAGTCAAGTTCAGACTCTCAAGATACACAGTCCCAATTCTGGTAGCCTCCAGCTCCTGACCGTTGGCCTGTTTCACAGCGAAGCTTTGCTTCTTCAACGCTGAAAACAGTTCTCTGTGTGGGCACATATGAACCGTGGCTCCAGTGTCAATTATAAATGAGTTCCCCAACATCTGGCGTGGTTCCTTTCGACATCAAAGCCTTTGCAGGTTTCACCTGGCACTTGGTACGGCTTTTGCCTGATGCCTCAGGCTTCGCAGAGCTGCCTTTGGCTCCTTTTGGCTGGCCGTGGCTTCCTACAGTTTCGCTGTAGATGCCCAGTCTGTCCACAATTGTAACATCGGACAGTGCTCAATGCTACAGCATGCTCGCCAGTAGCATCAGCAGTGGGGAGATTTGAACTCTGTTCTTCACTCCCCTGTCCTTCACTTCCAGTGCAGCAAGTCCGGTCGTGTTCATTAAGGACGGCGGCACACACCCTCTCCGCGGTCAGATCTTGAGCCGGAAGGGAACCAAGCTGACTGGCAACAACCTTGTAAGTCCGATTCAGGCTGTTTATCATCATGAAGCAAAACACTTCTTCCTGTAGACGGAAATTGCGTTCTTCCATCTGTTGGTGCAGAAATTTCATTGCTGTCAGGTGCGCTTGGACATCTCCATCAGGCGCTAGTCTCAGATTGGTCAACTTCTCAAAATACAGCAACGCTGAAGAACCAGCATCTCTCTGATGTGTTCTACGTAGCGTATCCCAAACCTCTTTCACATATTCTAAATGCTGAATATGCACCAATTGGGAATCTGAGACACACAGAATTAAAGCAGTCCTGGCCCTCACGTTCTGTGATTCCCAACCTCGGGTTGGTGCTGCTAGGGATGGGTTTTCAATCACCTCAAAAAGCCTCTGATTCTGCAGCAGGGCCTTTCATTCTTTACAGACCAAGATGAATAATTGTCATTATTTTAGGGGAGGTGGGCAAGGCAGGACTCCCCCCTTCTTGGCATCCATCTTGAAGCCAAAGCCTCTTTCTCACTTTCCAGCCTTGCTAAAACTCCAATAGCCTTTGCTGGGTGTTTACTGCTTTCCAGGCAGGCAAAATGCAAGTAGTTTCTCAGACCTTGCACAGCAGCGAACATAGCCAAACAAACTTTCTCTTCCCAGGCTCTCTCTCAGAGCCATCTGCGCAGTCAGTAAATTTCCACGTCTCTGACGGGCGTTGCTTAGCAACTGTGCATACAGGAAAGCTTATCTCAACCACAAGAATTCCTGGAATGCAGGCTGAGCCTCCAAGCTGCAGGCCTCTTCTACCGAGCTGTTGTTTTTCCCAAACGCAGCTCCCGTGAACCAGAGAATAAATCAATCTGCGTTCACACTTTTAGCCCGAAATGCAGCATACCTTTGGCTCCGGTGATTGGAAAAACACCTCCTCTTTCCACCAGCCGTCTGTTGAGCTTCCAGCTTCACGGCAGACGCTTGCCTTCTCCTTGGTGCAGAGGACGAACGATCCATCAACCTCTCATGCAGATTTACGATGAATCATAACCACCGGTGCTGCTACCAGTTGTCAGGATTCCAGCCGCAGTCAGAGGTAACTGGCCTCACTCCAGGCATTCGGCTGGGATCCTTGTTGACCTTCCCATCTGCGTCTCCCGGCAGGCAAGGTCGTAAATCGGCGATTCTCCTCAGACGTGAGGAGAACACACCCTCCTCCTTCTCTCCCTCCCTGCACTCCCCCAGGGAGGGGAAGAAAGACAGACAGGAGTCCTATTACATGTCTTTTATTCCTGTCATTCAGCAGTACAGAGAAAACGTGTCTGTACCCTCCAGACTCCGGCAGTAGAGTCTCAACTCCACCCCTGTACTTCCAGTACAGGTCAGATGACACTCTGAGCTAACATCCAGTGCTCAGTACAGAGAATGGACTGCCCCTTTTTCCCACCAGTACAGTTCCAGACAACAATATCTTGTTTTGCTTTCCAGCCA